CGCAAGGCATGTCCCATCTTTCTAGTTTACATCTATGATATCTTTATTCTGATATTTATTACAGTTTGTATGATAATGAAAATGGCCCCCTTTTTTCAGCATCACTGCAGGAATTGTGGAGATATTTTTTGTGACAAGTGCACCCAAGGCAGGACTGCTCTTACAGCTGATGACAATGCTCCAGTTGTTCGAGTTTGTGACAGATGCTTGGTATGTAGCAACGGCTAATGCACTTCTCGCTTATCATTGTTTTCCATAGTTCTCTCAGAAGTCTTTGCAGACTAACTTATAGCATGCCATTTCTTTATAGGCTGAAGTTTCTCGTAGGTTGAGCACTGCTAAAGATTCTTCTGTCAGCGGATCAACTGGATTGCCAAGTCATGAGGATCTTGCAAAAAAGCTTCAGGTGACACTTAGTCTGAAGTTTCCTCCACGGTATTTATTGTGTTGTTTGTCTGTCGGCATTTACTGATGAGATATAAGCTTTTGTCCCTCTGTCTCTGTCTTGCTGTACCTCATTTCTCTCTCTCATTATATATTCTGTTGCATGCCGTGACAATGTATGCTCACACTCACACCTGCACTCCAACTCATAGATTTTTAACCTTTTTTTATTGTCTCCTTGTATCCATCGTTATCTCTCTCATATAATGTCAAACTCTCAAATGTTTGGAACATTATTATGTAAATAAATTCCATGGTGGTGTTATAACCTCTCAAATTGAAATATGTTTAGGCTGTTGAATATCCTTCAAGTGTTATGCGGTACAACATTGCATTCATAACATTCTAAAAAATGTTCCATGATGCTGGTCATCATGGGCAGAGTAGCTCTGTATTCTGATGCTGAGATTTAGGTGGTACTATGGATTAAGCATGACAATCACTCATTTGCAATATTTCTGAATGAAAATAATTCTGTGGATTTTACTTGTTTCAGATGCACATAATGCATAGCCAAATCAGTGTGTTTATTTTCTTTTTATTCAGTGTTGACCAAGCCACATGTGATTTAAAGTTTCAGTTTACAAAATTAATTCATCTTCTTTCCTAGTATTTCCATGTTCTATGTAGTGTTCTTAGAATAGGATGAATTGGGTTTGTCACATGATACTTTTCGCTTGTTTTTACAGGAGGAGATGGAAAGAAACCGCAAGGCGTCATCGGGTAAATTTTAGTGCTGAACTGCGTAATCTTGTTCCAGTTTGTGGCATTTACGTATTTGTAGTGCATATGTTTGTGCTTTCGTTTCTAGAAAAATTGTTTCTAGAAAAATTGTTCGGCATTTTTTTTTTCTTTTTTGTCTTTTAAGGGACTTGGCTATTTCCAAATAAAATCCAGTTTGTGCTTGTCTAGGGGTGTTTCTCTTTGAGCAGTTGATCTCATTTGTACTTGGTTTCTCCTCTCTTGGTTTGTTTTTTTGTTTTTTGTTTTTTT